GGCATGGCTTGGTGGGTGTGGCAGGGGAAGGATACTGCAAAATCCCCATTTCCTTCCCACTCCTGGGGGAAGGATTCTGCAAAATCTCCATTTCCTCCCCACTCCTGAGGGAAGGATACTGCAAAATCTCCATTCCCTCCCCACTCCAGGGAAAAGGACACTGCAAAATCTGGGGCCAGCCAGAGGTGATATTTGCCGATTCTCCAAACTACTCAAAATTTCTGCTACCGGTTCTCCAGAACCTGTCAGAACTTGCTGAATTTCACCCCTGGGGGGAGATGACAGGAAGACCAGTAAGCTCAGCACCAGTTTGCTCCGGAATCCAAAGCCAGACATCCTAAGAAAGGATGTCTATTATTCCAAAACATCTCTGTTTTCTCATAATTTCTCGACAAGTTCAGATTGGCTGAAGACGGACTGGTCATGGGAGGAGGGCAGGGAGGAGGGGAAACCTTTCTGTATCTGTTGGCAGGCAAAATCCAGAGCTAACCTGACTTTACTGCAGTGCGCATCCTTTTAGTAAAATAAATTTTCATTTCAACCCATTGGAGTCCAGGGTCTTTCTTTCCTGAGGGTTCAGATTGGGGCAGGCCTTTGCCCCCTTGGGGCAACCATGACCTGGATGACTGCGGCCAGTCAGCTCCAGCACGTATACGTGCACTAGCCTGCTAATTTTTGGCCTTGGTTTTCAGCTGTGTTTCAACCTCAGCCATTTTTTGCCTCCGGAGGGAGAAAAATGGCCCAAGAGGCAACCTGGAAGTCTCTTCCCAAACTTCCGGTTTGTTCATTGGGCTGTTTTTCGCCCTTCAGCGGCTTCAGGAAAGCCTCCTGAAGACTCCGGAGGGAGAAAAACAGCCCATCGGATAACCCGGAAGTTGGAAATGGGCCATTTCCAGCCTCGGGAGGGCCTCCGGGGGGGCAGGGAAGGATGTTTTCGCTCTCCCCAGGCTCCTAGAAAGCCTCTGGAGCCTGGGGAAGGTGAAAAATGGACCTACCGGGCCCACCAGAAGCCTTAAAATGGGCCGGAGGGGCAGGGGTGGCCATTTTTGCCCTCTCCAGGCTCCAAGAAAGCCGTGCGCACATGCGCAGGGCAGCAGGGAGGGGGGGTCATGCATGCAATAGGGCGCACGTGCGTCCATTTGGCACCTGAGGCGAAAAAGGTTTGCCATCACCAGAGGAGGCTTCCATTTTTAATCCTTTTCTCCTGACTTTAAGGAAAAAGAGAAAGTGGTTACAGACCAAAAAGTGATCACATGACCTTGGGGCACAGCAACGGTCATAAGTATGAATCTGATTATGGGGACGCTGCAAGGTTGTAAGATAGAAAAATGGTCATAAGTCACTTTTTTCAGTTGTAACTTTGAAGGGTCACTAAATGAACTGTTGTAAGTCGAGGACTACCTGTATTTAAAAGGCGGTGAAACTTTAATCACATTTGCATTATAAATGCAAATATCAAAAAGATTATTTAGGGCAGAGTTTCTGCAGCCCTGATCCCCGCCTAACTTCCTTTTGTCCTTCTTCCCTAATCCTCCTCTCTAGATTTCTCTCCTACATCTCTCTTTCAAGTAGGGATGCAGTGAAGAGATGTCATAAAAAGTATAAATGTAAACACTTAAAAGAAAGTTTGCTGGGAATTCTGGAAAATGTCCTTTTGAAAACCAGGAAAGAGAACATTGCTTTAGGGAAAAAATGGTTTTATACACCCTTTTAAAAAGCTGCTACAGGACAGAGGCAAGTTGACAAACTGCTCTGGTTTTAATTTTTCCTTTTATGGTTTTTTTTTTTTAAATTATCCCTGCTTGGGGGGGAGGAATGTGGATTGAGAATGAGCATGAAGCAATTTAGACCTTTTAAAAAAAAGATGAGAGAGGACAGCTAACCTCTTTAAAACCAAGAGGATTTTTCTTACATCTTTCAAATGCATATAAAGCTTGTCTTATTTAATTCCATAAAATTGTCCTAATTTCTGGCCTCTAACTTCCATTAGGCTAATTGGCACAACACTTCCTGGGACATCTTTTTTTAAAAAAGCATGCACATGCATACAAAGAGAGGGGGAGGAAGAGGGGGGAGAGAGAAGAGAAGGGGAGAGAAGAGAGGGGGGAGAGAGAAGAGAAGGGGAGAGGAGAGAGGGGGAGAGGGGGAAGAGGGAAAGGGAGGAGTAGAGAGCGGGGAGAGGGCGAGAAAGGGGAGAGAGGGGGAGGAGGAGGGGGAGAGAGGAGAAGGGGAGAGAAGAGAGGGAGGGAGAGGGAGAGAGAATAGAGGGAGAGCGAGGAGAAGAGAGGGCGAGAGAGAGAAGAGGAGAGAGGGGGAGAATGTGGGGGAGAGAGGAGAAGGGGAGAGAAGAGAGAGGGAGGGGGAGGGAGCGGAGAGAGGAGAGGGAGAGAAGTGAGAGTGTGGGGGAGAGTGAGAAGGGAGAGAGGAGAGAGAGGGAGGGAAAAGGAGAGAGGAGAGAGGGGGAGAGGGAAAGAAAGAGAGAGAGGAGAGAGTGAAAGAGAGAGAACTGTATTTGTCCATAAAAACTTGCTGAAGGTGTTGACAGCTGTCTCGCCCAGTGGAAATGGTCACCCTGTGTCCAAAGCCTGGAAATAAGCGCACAAATGTTTGTCATGTAGAACCTGTGGGCACAACATGATGGGAAGAAGGGAGAGACAAAAGTGGCACCTAATTTCTTCAAGAATCTAAGTATGTATGTATGGAGAATAGGATCTTCAACAGATATTAGCTGAAGGAGATGCAGCTTCAAAATATCCATTCAAAACAAACTTGAATTTAGTCATCCCAGAAAATGAGTTCTCTACTCTTATCTGTTGCTTCTGCCTTTCTCTGCAGCTGCTCTGCTGTAACCCCTGCTGGCTGGTGTGTTGTGAAGTCGTGGCTTGTTTGGGGCATTTAGTTCCTTCTGTGGGATGGAGTTGCCAGTAGAAGCCAGACACTATCTTGAATTTGACTATTCAGTTCAAGACACTATCTTGAATTCAATAATTCAATGCAATTGAATAAGTGCAATGACTAATAATTATGCAATTGAATAATAATGGAATAATATCCAATTATCCAATTGAATTCAATTATTCAAGTCAAGACACTATCTTGAACTGAATAATTCAATTCAAATGAATAAATGCATTGGAAGAAGAATTATGCAATTGAATAATAATGGAATGATACCCAATTATTCAATTGAATTCAATTATTCAAGTCAAGACACTATCTTGAACTGAATAAGGCAAGACGAGAAACAATGGATGTAAACCAATCTAGCAGAGAAGCAACCTAGAACTAAGGAGAAATTTCCTGACAGTTAAAACAATTCATCAGCTTCTGCGGGCAACTATTCATCTTGGAACAACTCTGCTATGCATGAGACCAAGGATAGATTTTCTGTGGTCCCTCCTTATCTCATGAGTTTTTTAATCCTCTAAGATTAGTTTCCATCCATTGCTTCTTGTCCTGCCTTCAAGAGAATAGGTTGGCCCCCTCTGAAGTATGGGAAGACTGCTATCATGTCACTCTTAGTACAGAAAAATACAGATATTTTTAAAGGAAGAAACCTTTTAATAATTACTTGGCTGAACTATTTAAAACACAAACCAAATGTGAATAAAGCCATGCGTAATTAAAAAGACTCTTCAAGGCTCTTTGCTGCTGGGCTCAATTTTCTGTGTCTACATTTTAAAATACATTTCTACATCTTCTTTCTACGTTTTTAAATACCAATTGATCCAAATAAGGGTGGACTTTAATAGCCAGTCTTTGGCCATAATAAACCTGAACAACAAAGCTTAAATTTGTTCCTTTTGTTTGCAACATTGTTGAATGTCCTTAGAAAAATAGACAATAAAATCAAACTATTTTTGATTTTTGCTACCAACAAATTGTTGGTAACAATCGCTACCAACCTGCCTTCTACGGAGGACCTGTATAAAGTATTCTCTTCTCTTCTCTTCTCTTCTCTTCTCTTCTCTTCTCTTCTCTTCTCCTCTCCTCTCCTCTCCTCTCCTCTTCTCTTCTCTTCTCTCCTCTCCTCTCCTCTCCTATCCTATCCTATCCTATCCTATCCTATCCTATCCTATTCTATTCCATATTCTATTCCATTCCATTTTGTATTCCATTCCATTTCATTCTCTATTCAATTCTATTCCATTCTATTCCATATTCTATTCTATTCCATTCTATATTTATTCTATTCTATTCTAGCAACAATTATTAAAAATGGTTCTATTTCCGTTTTTGTTTTTTTTAACTTTCATTAAATGCATTTTTTGACAAAATTAAGCCTATCCCATCATGAGAGACCCTGCCTAGGTATCAACAAGCATCATTTAAGCAAGGCTTTGATGAGATTTCTCAAAAAGAAAAGAAATGCAAGGTTTAAAATTCCAAGTTGCTTTTAAGAAAACCAGAACTAGAGCAACACCAAAGGTCTTGTCCCGAAAAAGTTACTTAAATGGGGAAGGGTTTATTTGGAGCTCCCAGTTCCAGAGGTGGTGTGTGTGTTTGTGTGTGTGTGTGGCTGTGGCTGTGGCTGTGGCTGTGTATGTGTGGCTGTCTGTGTGTCTATGTATGTTCTAGCATAACTCTGGAAGACCTCAAGCAATTTCAACCAAACTTGGTGCACAGATTACTTACCCTGTGGAAACAAATAATGTGGGAATAAGACACCCCTAACACCCCTTTGGTGGGGGGTGTTCTGTTAAGATACAGCCTGTTATGCCTTAAAATGGCTTCTATGTGCTGCCGTAAAATGGCTTCTGGTAAGGAGAAAAAACCAACATGAGAAATTACGTTTGGTCCGGACATTTTCCCTCTATAAATAAATATCCAGGCAACGCTGGGTTATCATCTAGTTTTCCTATAAAAAAATCAATGCTCCTGCAGTTATCGTGTTCTGACAAACCAATGGAACGTGTTTATTTGAGGGCATCTGTGTGGCTTTTATCCCTACAGAAACCTGATGCCAAGGACCTTGGAAGGACAGATCACCATGGAGAAAACACCAAGTTATTTTGTGACCAAGGAAGCCCCGCGGCGCATTTACAACATGTCCAGAGACACCAAGTTGATCGTGGTGGTTCGCAACCCTGTGACTCGGGCTATTTCAGACTACACACAGACCCTTTCCAAGAATCCCACCATCCCCAGCTTCCAAAACTTGGCCTTCAAGAACCTGAGCCTGGGCCTCATCGATACCACCTGGAGTGCAGTGAAGATCGGCCTTTACGCAAAACATCTGGACCGCTGGTTGCGCTACTTCCCTCTCTCCAAATTTCTGTTTGTCAGCGGGGAGAGGTTGGTGAGTGACCCAGCTGGGGAAATGGGCCGGGTCCAAGACTTCCTGGGCCTCAAGCGCGTGGTGACGGACAAGCATTTCTACTTCAACGAAACCAAGGGTTTTCCTTGCTTGAAGAAACCGGAAGGGAGCAGCCGGCCACGGTGTTTGGGGAAGTCCAAAGGACGGCCGCACCCCAAAATCGACCTGCAGGTTGTCCAACGCCTGCAGGAATTCTACAGGCCCTTCAACTTAAAGTTCTATCAAATGACAGGGCAGGACTTTGGGTGGGACTGAGAGATCTCCTGGCACCAAGGAGGCAGATGGAGGCAATGGGAGGCCTTCTCCAAGGTCACATATTTCTGCTGGGCAAAGGTGCATCTGAAATGCCATATCCAAGGAACATTTTCTGACCCCTTACTAATTTATATAATTTCCTTCCAATAAGAGAGGATTGTTATGCTTACGGTGTACAGAGAAAAAGCCTTTGAGCCTTCCCCAGCTGAAGAGCAAAGGACGGGAAGCATAGATTGATTGAAATATTATGCTAAATAAATCTGGCCAAAAAGGATAAGATTTCTGAATTCGTGTTGGGTGAGAGAAAATAAGTCAAAAAGAGCTTTCCTTGGGTCTGAAATGTCATCCGGTCAGTTTTCCTCTTACCTATGTGATTGATTGTACAGGTAGTCCTCGACGTATGACCATAATTGATCCCAAAATTTATGTTGCTAAGTGAGACATTTAAGTGAATTTTGCCACGTTTTACAATCTTTCTGACCACAGTTGTTAATTGAGTCACAAACACCTGAACCAGTTCCCAAGCCACCCCGGGCCACCGCCATTTTGGTTTTTAGTTACTGCACGTCACTAAACATTTATATATATTTTATGTGCGAAGAGCAATTTATATTGAACAGGGCAGGCACGTGCAGCATTGCGCATGGGTTGCAAACCGGTAGTAAAACCAGCAGCAATCCACCCCTGGACCATGTGGAGACCGCAACGGTTGTAAAGCTGAAAAACGTTACACTTTAAAGTAAATCACTTTATCAGTGCTGTTGTAACTTCAAAAAGTAAATCACTTTATCAGTGCTGCTGTAATTTCAAAAAGTCGCTAAGCGAACTGTCATAAGTCAAGGACTAGTTTTATTTCATGTGGATGATGTAAAGAAGTCAGGTTACAGTTTCACTCCAAATCAAATGACTGGCCTTCATGGTGGGTGGTGGATAGGACAACACCAACGTAGAATTTACTGAAATGAGTCGATGTGCTTAAAGTCTATATTCATTTTGGGAAAACTCTCATTGTGCTAACAATTTTGTGAGAACTTCTTGGTATGTCCCTGTTCTGACCTAGGCTTCCCCAGCAGCACGAAGCCGAGTCTTCATCTCGATAAACCCCTTTTATTTTATTTTATTTACTGTGAATTCTTCTCCAGCAAAGTCTTTCCTCCCCCACTGTCTTTCAAGATAGTTCACAATTACCTTTATCAGGCATGGAGAGTGGCCAGGCTGATATCTTTCAGACACCGCAATACTTGGCAAGAATGCAGGAATGAACTAATTGTCTCCTGCAAACTCCCCTCCCCTTTTGCTCCTCTTTTTATTCCTCTGGGAGGGGCCATTCATCGTTCACCTGTGGCCTTACTCCCAAGTCGACCCTTGTTCCTTAGCTGTTCCCTTTGTCTGGCAACTCTGTGCATGCACACACTGAGAACAGGCTCCAGCT